TCTGACTAATTTTCAATCCCATTTTTGTTTGCTTTGCCCCCAGATGGGTGCCCCTGAATCTACAGAGATGATCCTGGGCCATACTGACACAGTTCCGCCATTTCATGGCCCAAACAGACCCCTCTTTTCGAAACAATCTCTGGGGGTACTTTTTGTGCGCCTTGGCCTGGCGGAGACAGAATTTTCCTTGAATTGGGACACTGCACCCCTAATTCTCGGATGGTCTTTCATCTGAATTTTCAGCAGGGAATTCAGCCTACCAAAGTGACGAACTGATGCAAGATCAATGTCTCGGTGCCATAATTCACGCTTCGTCATGCGTTGCTTGTGAGTGGAAAGAGACAATTCAATTTTTGTTCTTTTATTTGCATAGGCCGATATATCACTCACCGAAATACACGTACTGGACCAGTTATGTGAAATTACTTCTCGGAGACATGTCAAACAGAAAGACGATCATGGTCTGAAGATAGTGGTATCCACAAGAACTGAAGAGCTTCCGAGTCCGCTGGAGTTGAAAATTGCATTGATTTGCCAGAGTGTTCATTCCTTTCGCAAGCATGGAATGCAAAAGAATGTACACATGTACTGCAGCATGACCGCAGCGCAGTGATTACAAGGATAACCCGCTCGTTCTATTTGCGCTGTGAGCACAGCATTCAGTGCGTGACCTCGTTTGGAATAATTAATGAGCTGGCGACGACGCTTGGACTATTTCGGTGATCCTGAAAACAAAAAAATAGTTTAAAATCTGTTGATGCCTTGGTGTGTTTTCTAAATTCATTATTCCAAACACGCGTGTGCACAACTACTTGCGTCACGGTAGCATGAATGATCATCACATTCAACATGTGCAAGCCGAAAACGAATGGCAAAAAAACAAATCTTGCTCGCGAAAAGTGTCAGAAAAATAATGGAAAACACGTGGCCACATGCTAGATTATTTTTCTAAATTAATGAAAGCTCATTACTCTACTTATCCATGTGTAGCGACGATTTTTGTTATTATAATTTTTTACCCAAGTAAGGGCGCAAAAGTTCATATTGTTACCCCCCGAAATCAGAGTGGGATCTTATACTCGATAGTCAAATGAACCAAATTTTGCCAAAAATTAACATTATTTCAGCAAAATTTACATCATTCGATACTTCAAAGGCCATATGTATGTTTAGCTGGCGTCGGCTAAATTTAACCGACAAAAGACAGTTTGTTGGCTTTGATTTGTTTTAACACAAGAATCTGCGGAATTATACGAGATGTGAATAAAGGCTATTCCCCTTATGGCTCATTGTTTCGCAGCCAACTTGTTCCTTCATTTCCACTATGTATAGCTTCCAAAACTTCTGGCAAGGAAATGTTCTTCCTTTAACCTGATTCGAAGCAGAAACGTCAAGGAAACGATGTATCTCGTGTATTTTGTTTAAAATTTTCAACGTGTTTAACGTGAGCCTGTTTCACGTTTGCCGCGGCCTAGTGCAACCGCACTTTCTCTTGTAAATGGTCCTTCTTCTCCATTATGAAATTGTGATCATATAGGCCTACAAATTACTTACGCTGACTTGATACCAGATACCATACGCAGTAAATGAACGCTGATTGAAAGAACAGCCAGGCACCAGATAATTTTCATTAGCATACGTGTTCAAAAATCGTGGAAGTGCAAAATAATCTAAAAAGCAGGTTGACAAAGCAAGTAATTAACCGTTTGGAGGCACTGTTCGATGGGGAGACTAGTCGTTCCCAGACAGCCTGTGAACAGAGTTATCTCATCGACTTAAGTGGGCGCATGAGTGCCCCTACACCTAGTCAACTTCGACCTTTGCGGCATTTCTGCGTGGCATTCAGGCCGACCCCCATACGCCGGCGTGCGGCACTGATTTTATTTATAGGCCTAATAGATCATCAAGACGTCAATGCCAAAATGTTTGCAACAAACTAAATCGAAATAATAAGTACTATTTTTTTTCCAATTACACTACAATTTCCGGATTTGCACAGTTTCCAGACTTATAATGCCCAAATAAAGAGAGCAGTCTTTGCGTGGGGAGTGGCCCAGAGACAAAAGAGCATTCGAGAAGTAGGAAGCAGTATCATTTTGTCCTTTCCGCCGCGCTCTGGGAATAGCTGTGCCAGGCCACTCTTATGAAAGATTGACAGGAGTGAAGTCTGTTGGGTGCCCTGTTCTACTCAGCGTTCTTATATACACATATATAAACAACGTTTCGACACATTTTCGTAAGTCCTCTTTTTCAACACGTAAAAGCAGCGCTACGTGCACAGAAGTCCTTTCCAGTAATTGTATTGACATCAGATTAGAAATTTTTGTCCACATCATAAAAATACAGAAGTTTCATTTCTAATGGAACGATAAATACATACAGATAAAACAATAGACTTTATTCACCAAAATCGTACACAAAAGACAAAAATACACTCAGTTAAAATTACATATATCCATGACTGTAATAAATGTATGATGTGTTTAAGCTGTAGCTGGCACATCTCTGAGTACGTTTTGTATACACCGATATTAGCCTTAGATGCCGATGGCCCAGTAGCGTTTTGTGTAAAAGTTGTGTACTTAAATGGTGTTCCGGAGGATGTCTAGCAAGCCTCAGTGGCCTGTGTTTCAGTAAGAAATTTTTGAAAAAGTGTGCGGGGAACACACTTTTTAGATGACAGCATAGTGATGTCTACCTAAAAATCTTGAGCTTAATTTTGTCTGAAGTAACCGTTAACGTTGTTTATGTGACTTCGGCAGGGCTTTGGACTGCTAAATTTTTAAATTTATTAGTGATTTTTTAAAAGTACTTTTAGTACGAAATAACTTGTTATGAAGATATCTTTACATAAACCAATATATTTTGGCTTTGTTTAGCAAATAACTAATGGAGGAGGGTTGACCTGAGACGTCAATGTCATGTGACAAACTAAATGGAAGTAATAAGTAATACCTTTTCCCTTTACAACACAATCTCTAAATTGGGCAATTTTCAGACTTATGATGCTCAAATAAAGAGACCCAACTTCGCGCGTGGAGTGGCCCAGAGCAATTAAGAAAAGGAAGCAGTATGGGAAATCCCACCGCTGGCTTTCAAGTTCACCCGGATCAATCGTTGATAGCCACGGTTTCAAACATTATTGTTACTTGTACTATGTACATGTACAATGTAAGTTACGAGTGCTCACATTGACGTTCATCGTCTTGATCTTATTTTGTTGAGATAAAAGTGAAATTGTGGCAATTCATTGCTGGGCGTTACTTCAAAATCCTCCTCGGAACATCCAGCTCTCAGTGAAAATCAGGGTAGGCTAAAATCAATTTGCATGTTTCGGATTGTAGTACATGTATGTGCTATTTTTATAATCGACCAGGCATGTATTCGCAGACACTGTGGCAGTGATTTGTTGACAACGGCAAGCCGTCAGCTGAGTGATTACCTGAGATCGTCTGCGGCACCGGCACTGCAGCCGGGATGGACACAGCGCCGGTGCCTTGGGACGGACATGGACTGCTGCTGGTACACCTCTTACAGGTGTTCAAGCTGCACAGAAAAATGATGTTCCACATGTCTTCTTTCATTTTCTTTTCAATTTTCGGGGGGCTGTGCAATGAATTTTTGAGAAATTTTCACCAGAAGCAGACCACCCCTAAAATGAAGAAAATGTCCACGTCAAGAAAAGCAGCCATTTTGAAAAACCACCCCTCTGCAAGATGGCTCTAATAGTGGCCACCTTCGGACCCGATTGCATCCAACTTGCTCAGAATTGGAAGCCCCGAGTCCGGCCCAGAGGTTCAGTCTCATGTTTCTTCTATTCCCCCATTTCCATGGCTCTCAGGATCCTCTAATACAGAATATTTTGAATCTATAACTTTTATTAAAACCCTAACCCTCCTCAATCCTTCACCTGTTGGAGGACCGAAGAGTGTTCGGGTTAATGAGCTCGGTGGACAGATATCTGGCCTTAATACAAGGGTGCACCACTACGGGCTATTCATATCTGGAGATCACCCCATATTTGCTGTGAGTGCCCCCAATATAGCAGACTAACTACGGATGCCCGGAAAGGACCATGCATTTATGAAGCTACATATGCTGTCTGCAACAAAGACAATGCTGATTGGTCTCGAAACTCTTTCTGATTACATTTGATTTTAAAAAAAGCAGAATTAGAAGAAACAGTTTTCTTCAACAACTCACTCTTAATGAAAACACAAAACAACAGAATCAAGGTCTGCTACCTGTGGCATGTACTGTGCAAGCAAGGATGGGGGGAAGAAAATGAACGAAAACAGTAAAGGCGCTCTCCATAAACACCATGAAACAAAGAGCGACAGCACACAACGCGTCGTTGTGCGTCGTTTCGTGCGTCGCGTCGTGCTTCAGGCGACGTAATAGGCGATGCAATGGTCTACACGACGCACAACGTGACACAAACGGTACGACGCGACGGGCGACGGAAGGGTCGACAGTTAGGCAGAAAAAAGTGCAACAAGGAAAAGACCTAAAACAGCACGACGCGAGGCGTTGTGTGTGTACAAAAAAATGGCAAGAAGGCGACGAAGGCCTAGAGTGAGGCAAGAGAGAGAGAAATGTTTGTCATAAATTATACACCATAGCATCGTCAGGTCACTGCAGAATAAAACCACACTGCAGAGAAATCTCTAATACCACATCTATCCCTATTGCCAGGTATGTGAGGATTTCTTTTATTTGATACTTTAGCTTAATTTGTCACTTGGATAGATCTTTCTTTTTGTTTGGACTACAGAACATCTACGGCCAAACCAGACATACATATTTAACCTAAATACATGTACTTGTACATACGTGTGTATTTTAATGTACATGTAGGCTATGTGTAAGGTAAACCCAGTACCCCTGTACCTACTGCTTTGTCCTGATCTCCGTTTTCTGTGTACAGATCACTGGGGTCACGTAAGGGTAATGCAGTTGGTCACGGCTGCTAAATCCACAGCAGTTCTTTGTATGCAGTTAGGCGTTTTACTATTGCAGCTGTCACAGGTCATTTTTCCCCCTCTTACATTGTCGAAAATGGTTGAATCTAGAGTTTACTTCCCCTTGGTTGTGAGAATATGGTTAATTGCAAGGTTTTCTCACCTGTAGTATTCCATTGAGTTTATTTCCTTTCAACCATGAGTTGTTCGTAATTAATGTGTATGCGTTATACTTCCAAATGCTGCTTGGCCCTGCAAAACACATCACTCCGACTCTATCAAGTGTACGGACCACCCAGCTAAATGGATGACCTTCCTTGCCAAATAGTGACCGCCCAAAACTGACCTGTAGTGGCTGTTCAAAATTGGCTCCCATTTATTGCTCTCAATTCAAAGGCTGTACGTAGTACCTTGAAAGGTCCACAATTCTTTTCAGAGCTTTACATACTAGTACTGATACACTGAAACCGCCCCAAATAATTTCGTTCCTTTTGTTAGAGTACCATGGATGACCCGTCACCCCATTCAGGAGTTAAAATAAGCATGTACGAGAAGGAGTCGATTTCCATGATAGCGAAGTGGAGCATCGAGGCGAATTCCTCAGCAGAGCGGGTAGGTCCCACTATCTTCTGACTAGCTATAAGCGAATTGTATCCCAATAGGAATATATATCCCATGAATGCAGGCAAATACACACATGTGTGTGGGGTGGGGGTGGGGTTCCAGCGGCACGATTTACGTCCCCCACCCACCCGCCGTGAAAGGATTTCTTGGCGTTAATTCGTTAATTTTCCGTCTAAGCATAGCATAGCATACATAGAATAAGCATAAGCATAGCATAGCATAGCATAGCGTAGCATAGCATAGCATAGTATAGCATAGCATAGCATAGCATGCATAGCATAGCATAGCATAGCATAGCACAGCACAGCACAGCATAGCATAGCATAGCATAGCATAGCATAGCATAGCATAGCACAGCATAGCATAGCACAGCACAACACAGCACAGCACAGCATAGCACAGAATAGCACAGCATAGCACAGCATAGCATATGCAAAAGCACAGCATGGTACAGCATGGCACAGCATGGTACAGAATGGCACAGCATGGCATAGCATAGCAATTTATTGCTACATATTCATTAAAAGTACAAATAGTAGAAAATACTTGACTGCTTGCTCAGTAAAAACCTAAAATACATGTATATCTAAAATATTCAGAAAAGCACAATTACAGTCTATTTTTGATTAATTTAGGTTAAGATTTTAAGAAATATTTATATATTTGAAATTTATTTAAAATTTCCATTTAGGTACCTGACTGCAGTGATATAAAATGAGCGGTTTAATCGCTTAGTGCTTCCCTGAATTGATCTGCATTCACGCCTCATCATTTAAAAGAGCTCAGTGGTCGGATGAGACTCGTCTGCAGTAATGGAGTGAGCACGTGCCAATGTTTGCTGTCTATAAATCTCCTCAGCCGAATTCATTTCAATACCAATGATCTGTGATGCTGTATTTACAACGCGAGCTAAATTCCTTCTCTCATCAACAGTAGTGCTTCCGTACCAAACAGTAATAGAGAGTGTCAGAACACTCTTAATGACGGCACGATAAAACACGAGATTTTCTCAAACGGCGGAGAAAATACAATCGCTGCTGAGCCTTTTTTACACAGTAATCAACATGTTCAGCCCATAAAAGATAAAATACCCAAAATTTGAATGATAGCGTCCTGCACTTCGGTCCCATTGATAAAAAAAGCGGCAGAACTTCATGATTCCCATACTGAAAATCAATAACCATCTCTTTGGTCTTATTATTATCGGAGCACCATTTCACTAAAATGTTCACTTGCTCATGATAATGTTACCGTGCGAGATAAGCCCAGCAACAGTTGTATCATCCGCAAAATTAGAGACAACACAATCATTAAAGGATGATATGCAGTCATGCGTGAATAAAGAATAAAGCTGCGGTGACAGTACACATCCTTGCAATGCACCAGTATTAATAACGAGTGGCTTGGACAAGTTCTTGCCAATTTGGACAACCTGCAATCTGTATGAAAGAAAGCTATAAATCCATTTACAAACATCGAAATTTACACCTAACTATTTCAGTTTCATAATCAGTTTGGATGGTAAATTAGTGTTGAAAGCGGAAGTGAAATCTACAATCAGTACTCTGGCATAATTGGGAGATCGAATGTCCAAGTGTTGGGGTACACGGTGGAGAATCAAACTCACTGCATCCTCAACAGAGCGATTGTTTCGATAGGCAAATTGATATGAGTCCAAACACTTTGGAATAACTGTTTTTAAAAACTGGAGTACTACTCGGTCAAGCGGTTTCATTACATTAGACGTCATGGCCACATGCCTATTGCCATTCATTCATGTAACTGGAATCCGTTTCGGAATCGGTACGATTTCAGACTTTTTTAGGTTGTGCGGAACAACACAAATCTGCAAAGACCAGTTATAGAGAAAAGTTGCAATACCGGAAAGTTCATCCGCACACAGTCTTAGGATCTTGTTGGAGATGCCATGTAGATCTGTTGCTTTTCTCACATTTAGAGATTTGACTGTGCGTCTGGTGTCCGTCTCATTAATAATTAAAGACTGCTTATCCATAGTTGGGATCTCTGGAGGAGGTTCTATAGGGTGACAGTCGAAACGAGCGAAGAACTCACTGAGTTCATCAGGAAGCTTCGGATCATTCGAAGCTGTAGGTTTGGGTCTACTTTTGTAGGGAGCAATTTTCCGAACACAGCCCCATACATGTTTTTTGTTGTCTTACAGCTCTGACTCCAACCTGATCTTATAGTCTTTTTTTTGCATATTTGATGGCTATACGGAGTTCATATTTAGATTTTTTTTGTGGAGGCACTTTCATCCTGCTGCTGCAATGCTCTTGCTTAGCTCTCAACTTTGCTAACCGAACCATGGTTTGTCATTTCCGTAAATTTTAATTGTCTTCCTGGGATTACAGGATCTTTTACAAAAAAATATACAATCAGTAATAACTTCAGTGCTGCCATGGATATCATCAGGGTCTAACAACACGTCCCAATCAGTAAAAGCAAAGCAATCTTGTAATTCAGCGATAGACAACTCACTCCAATTAGGAACAGTTTTAATGATAGGCTTGGTTCGCTTCAAATTCTGTTTATATGATGGAACAAGATGGATCATATTATGGTCTGATTCCCTGAGAGAAGTACCTTTCAGGGCTGTGTACGCATCCTTGATCGTTGTATAGCAGTGGTCCAGAGTCTTATCCTTCCTTGTTGCACAATTGAGATGTTGATAGAGTTTAGAGAGACCTTTCCTGAGATTTACATGGTTGAAATCTCCGGCTATAATCACAGTGGCACCTGGATTAGCGTTCTCATGTGACGTCACAAGTATCCATTTTTCTTTGGGAACTTTGCAATTAACATTCCATCTCTATAGCTTTAAAGAAATTGAACTCAGTTCGATCATTATTTATTTCCATTGCAGGATTATGATGACCCCTTCTATATATGTGATCTCGGCGACGTCATTGCTAAAGACAGAAAATGGCAGGAATTACTACCGACAGTGGAAACTTTTTATGGTAATTTTGAATTATCACATTATATTCACATTCTCCCTCGCCACCTTTCCATTATACTTTGAGTGTCCTGATCCACCAACAGGTAAAACGTTGGAGGTGATTTCCTTTTCCATACAATCACTTTATACATCCCATTTCGCGCTCATAATTTTAATTTGATTTTTTCCTCTCAATTAAGCTGTCAAGTGTAATCCCGACTTAGCTATTCTGAGACTACTGGTGGGACTAGGAAGGGGATTTGACTGCTCGAGTAAGGTATGAATGTGGTTCAATTATTGACGCGGTGTCGTGAAGGTTTTCTCATTATATATATAGTGGGACATTAATTTTATCTCGATTTTCTTTGGTTTTCAAGAGAGAGATTCAGATGGTGCTGGATGCAGGAGCAAGCCCCGACCGCATCATCTACGCCAACACGTGCAAACAGGAGTCGCACCTCCGCTACGCCAAGGAGAAGGGAGTCAGCCTCATGACTTTTGACTCGGCTGATGAACTGCAGAAGATCGACCGCGTCTACCCAGAGGCAACGTAAGTATGATGTACTTCGGTTTTCTTCAATCTTTGGTCCCGTTTCAAATATTACTCTGTACTGGTTCCAAATCCACGCTCTGTAACGTCAATATATATGTATGCAGAAAAGTCACTTCTGAACTGTGAAGCCGAAGCTTTAAGTTTCCTTGTTTGTAAACATTGAAATTGATCAAGGAAGCTATAATGCCACTTACAACTTTTAACAGACAGAGCCACACAAAAGGGTTATCAGAGGCAGGTTATTTTACCAAAACTCCATGATGAAATATTGCGTTCCATTGTCTCACATGGTTATACTTAGACATGTAAATGTGAGGTTAGTCTTTGCGTTTTTTGGCAGCACAATTTTCTCGTGAAAAAAAGTTTAAAAACCATCTTATCTAGTTTACTTTCGGATACAGCCTCTAGTATGAAAAAGATCACCAAGACAAAAGGTTTTTTTTTCTACCACCCCGCCTGCTGACCTACCTTCTCCTTTTGCGTTTCAAGGCTAGTGCTACGGATGAGGTATGACGACCCTAACGCTGTCTATAAGCTGGGATCGAAGTTTGGCTGCTCACAGGACAGCATTCCACGACTGATGGAGCTGGCGAAGACGTTGGGACTGAATGTGGTTGGTATAAGGTGTGTGTTTGACGAGTTCGAGACGATGCAGTTGATTAATGGGTGCATGTACTGTCCCCCGGACAGACCCTTGCAAGCCTTGTTCTTTTAGACCTGTTGATGACTTTACAAAGCTAGCAAGGGCCAGCTGTTCCGCGGTTCCACACAATGCCAAATATAAGCGTCCCCTATACTACCTAAGGAGTTAACATTGGTTGGACTTCCAACCCTCAGCTTGAGTCAATAAGTTGAATCAATTACAAGTAATATTAATACAGAACTTTATTCTGTTTTTTTTCTGTCGAAGCCATCGCTTCGAAGTGATAGTTGAACATTTGATGTCGCCTGACTTCGAGAGTTATTTATTGCCCCTCATTTTAAATTGCTGCTATCAATCAAGTGCCAAGTGGTAACAGTTCTTGGAGCTTTCTGGTCTCATCCGATTAGTTTCCATATTGGCGCCGGTGCTCGGGACCCGAACATGTTTGCTGGGGCCATCTCTTGTGCCAAGACACTGTTTGGCGTCGGGAAAGCCGTTGGTTATGACATGACGCTACTGGACATCGGGGGCGGTTTTCCGGGCAAAACGAGCTTTAGAATTGGATTTCAGCAGGTGAATTAGAAACAAAAACTTGGATCCACAAGAAACAGGTTGTACAATGATTTCTCCATCTGGTAAATGGGTATGATGCATTTTCCAGTTGTACACATAATTTATATAGGCATGTTTTTCATTTCAATTTTGTTTTGGAGCGAATAGGTGAAGGGAGAATGTCGTTGTCATTCCTCATATGGCAAACTTCCTTTAATTTTTAATTCCTGACACAAATCCCGCTCGCAGTTTGCAGAAGCTATCAGCGAGTCACTCGAGGAGCATTTCCCAGCAGACTGCGGCGTGAGGGTGATCGCTGAGCCCGGGACCTTCTACGTCCAATCAGCGGTGCATCTTGTGGCTAACGTCATAGCCACACGTAAAGTTGGGGCCAGCAGTGGTGAGTTATCCTTATCTTGCACCTTAAAACTGCTCTACTCACTCACTCAATAAAAAGGTGATCCCAGGTCCTATAAAACCCTTTCTACCCCCTCAGAACATTTCGGTTCAGTTGAACTTGTAAGGACGTGGACTTGCAACGCCTTCGTATGACATAAAAGCCAACCAGCGGCCATTTTACCGAGCCGAATACAAAATGCACTGAATGATCACCGTCTTGTCAACTTCAGCTCCTCCACATTGTTGCATCACTTGTACTTGGTAACAAATAGAAATGTTGGTTTTATTTCAGATATACTTCAGGAAAATAGCAAACTAAAGAAACACTACTTTGTGAATACTGGACTATATAACTCTTTCAATGCGCTGTACACTGTTCCGGACTATTTTGCACCACCGTGTCCCTTAAGGGTGAGTGATGTGAACGTATAATAAAACTACTTTTAAGTAACGCATGTAACAACGGCTCAAAATGACGGGCTAAATAACTGAATTTTTATTTTTCCCCCGATGGAAAATAGGAACTGGAAGAAGACGAGCCGTTTTACCCGTCATGCATCTGGGGCCCGACCTGTGACGCCACCGACTGTATTTTCCCTGACTGCAGACTCCCGGAGTTACGAGCTGGTGACTTTGTCATTTTCCGCGGTGGGTGAGCTCAAACTGTCACATAGAATGTTTCATAGATAGAATGTCTCATAGGATCCAAAGTCATAGTGTTAGGATCCCAAACTGGAAGTTTCTCAAGGGAACCAATCTATCATCAATAATTTCCATGTTTTCTTTTATGGTATCTGATTTCAGGTTACCAAATAGTGTACGTTTGAACAAAGGATGTTTGGACTTTGCATTTTTGGCAGCCCCCCAAGATTATTTTATTCTCATTAACACACGTTTCTAATTATGGCCTCTGCGAATTTTTCTTCGAGTAATTCATCAGTTTCGCATATACTTTCCCTATTTAAACGGTTGTCTTTGTTCAAAGATATGGGAGCGTACGCGTCGTCTGCAAGCTGTGATTTCAACGGGTTCGGTACCCCGACGTCCCGCTACACCGCAACGAGAAAATACTTGTGAGTAGAGCAAAGCATATTAGGATGGCTATTTCTTTTTTCATACCCCAACGATACTTCTTAATTAACTTGATGAGCATAGACCTCTTTCGCCAATTTATTCCTAATTATGCACGCATGCGCACAAATGGCCTTAGCGACAAAGAGTATGAGCAGGCCATTGAAAAGCTATACAAACGTGTAACTTTGATGATCATTTTGTCTCTTTTTTTCTGGCACTGTTCAGGTTTTCCTTCAGTAACTCCAATTAAATCTTGTATGCTATTAGTCTCTAATCTAAGCGGGATTTTTAGTGCTCTGTAAAACGTCTTTATAATCGTGATTTTCCTTGCGCGCGAGACCGCCGTTTCTTAGTATGGCCCCCTTCCATTAGAAGTGATATAAATTACATCGTTAGTGTTCTTGGAGACAACCTTTGCATTCGAAAACACGTACTGCTGTTCAATGTACATGTATTGTACGTACATAGCTTACCAATGAACTTGGTCAAAGCCTGAAGTAATACCAAAAGAAATGTTATCCAGTTGTTGTATCTGGGTAGTAAGACAACTTGCAGAGTGCAGATTCCACAGCGAAAGGGATTCGTTTCTTCAGATTTACCAAGTGAAGAAAGCAGCGAATCGACGGGTATACACATATTTGAATGTACCCCGTACACTCAAATCAAAGGTCATTGCACATGTGCGTGAACACTTCATACCCGCCAGGAACTGCAGGAAACAATCGCTGCAATATTTACGACCGGAGAGACCAGTCGTGAATTCGGTCGCAAATATCGACGTCAATATTGACCATTGGCGATGTCCATCCAGGGCCACCATAAACTTGGGCTTTGACAAAATGTTTGGTTAAAAACTTCACTGATTTCATTTTGTGCTCTCTTTCAGACCACTTCTTCGCGAGGTTTTTCAAGGGTGCGCCACAGAAAATGTTGACATTGACCCGCAAACCAAGACCAGCGAGTGATTCCACAAATGCGCAGCCATCATAAACATATGAACTGGTGATGACGTCATTAGCTAGTGCAAGTCTACGCCCAAGAGGGTATAGACGAACACAAGTAACCGAACTATACCCGTCTTTATGTGTTAGTAACACATCTCTGTCTAAAATGTGAAATAAGAAAAATAACTTTTCATGGTTTCATAACTGAGAAACCAACTTACAAGACGGTTTCTCAGATGTAAAATTTAGATTAAAGTGAAAGTAATTTTTCCCTGACTCTTCTATCCAGACATATAGACATATGCATTCAAAGTTATTTGGGAAAAATCTACATTTCAATTTTAATATAAACCTTACTTCGTGGCCCTTTTTCTGAGCACTAAAGTTTTGTTTGTGGAGGATTTTCATCATACCAACCAATTTAAGTAAATTCCAGAAAACCTGTGAGGTTAAACCAGGTATGTGTATTATTTGATACAGATACAGATGGGACCCTAATTTCTATGTAAGTTTATCCATAGCTGACAAATCTGCATATTTGAAACTTTCCAGCAATTTAAAATATCATACATAAACTTCAGGAGTATCGTGCGCTTAATTGCGGCCGACACATATGATCTTGCTTCCGGTTGCGTCTCCACATAACACGACAAACATGAGGCAGCTTTTTTTGAGGCAGGGTATAGACATTCAGCCACCGGTCATTATTGAAAAAAAAAACAACGTCCCGCTCTGTAGACGCAGTGGGATTTTTGCGCATTCAGCCATCTGGCGGAGATTTCTTGGCCCAAAGCAGCCTTAAAAACTACTATCCCCGTAGATTGAGCTTTGGAGAGGCCTTTGTCAAGGATGAATTAAGTGTTCTCCAAAACAAAAAGAGGTGCACTATCACAAATCGGGTACAATGTTGATTAGTTATAGGTGGCGGAAATTATCTCCTCCAGCAATATAACGCATTATAATGTACTGACTTAGCAGAAGAAGCAGACATCTGGAAAATTTCCACTTCATAGAGACAAACCGTACGATTTTCTTTACTTAACACAAAAAAACACCACCATCATGCATATTTGTATCAGAATAACAAAGTCATAAGATACAAAACATTGGGTTGGCGAAGTGGGGAGTAGGGTTGGCGAAATAGTTCTTTCCTCGCCTTTCTCCTCTGCGGGGTTCGATTTCCGGCTAATTATTATTAATTTTACGAACAATATATCGGTGGAATATGGTAAGAAAGCATCGAAGTATTTTTTAAATTTGGTAAAGCGTAATTGTAACAATAGGATTATAAGTAGAATTATGAAAGGTGACGGTACTGATTTAACGACTTCACGAGATATCATTAAAGAGGCCCGCTTTTTTTACAAGAAACTTTATTCTTATTCAGAACAGAGGCCTACCATAAATCTTCGCGCTGTTTTTAAAAGGTTAACCCACCTGTTCTTTCAAATTTGACCAGGGACAAAATAAGTGGGCCGTTGACTCATGAAGAAATTTTGAAAGTTTTGAAGTGTACCAAAAACGGCAAGTCTCCAGGCTTAGTTGGATTCACTTTTGAAATTCTACAAATTTTACTTCTCTGATTTCATGTTTTTTGCGGTCTCTCAAAAACGTCTAAAATCTCAGTTTACGTGGTTTCACTTCTCTTACTTCGTTTCTTAAATAACTTACGGTTATCGGACTCTGTCCTAACTTGAAGTGGTCACAGGTTGGGTGCTGCTATACAGAAGGTACAACCTCGGCTGGAGAATTTCGGCACTGTAAAATTCTGCCAAGCTGGTAAAAGTCGGCCATCATCAAATGACCACAAGGAACTTGCGAACTCAGCCGAACCCTGGTTGCAGTCAGTATTCACCCCAACCTTTCCAAAATTCTCTAACTCACCTTCTCCCTGACCTTTCCTGTCGATCTCGACTGCCACCCTCATTTTTTCTTATTCCTCTACGAAAATCCCAAGGCGCGTTTTACACCGATAACCAATAAATGTATATTTTATAAACACCGGGCTAAAAAGGAGTTAATTTGGTAAGCGACCTGTTGAGGGCCATTGTTTTAAGCTTAGGCGATTTTATCAGTGTTTGGAGTATGGTGGAGTCATTAATACAGTTAAAAAATCTTTTCGTTGTAAACTGTCGCAGGTCAACTGCAATATATGCTTTACTTCCTTTTATTCCTGTTAATTCACTTTTGTTGGATGAAAAAGACTCTACTCGTGTCTACCGTATTCTTACCGCTGCAACGAGGGTTGTTCGTAAGTTTATAGATAGATGGGAAACGAAGTTAGTTTGTAGCCTTCCTCGCAGGGAATGGTGGAATTTATGTAGCCTACCTTTTTTTTTAACATGATACAAAACTGCGGTGGTTTCAATAAAGACTAACTCATAGAATATTTGCTGTAAATTCGTCTTTGCTGAAAATTGCGAAAAGCGATAAAGACTTGTCTTCTTTTTGTCAAGCTGATAGTAAAACTGTGTTACATCTCTTCATCTTGCTTCAAATAAATAAACTGCCATGGATGAATACGCATTATGCTGGGCTTTTAAAGACTTGAACTGTGAAGTGTCTGTACGGCTAAAACGTCTCCAAATAGCCATCTGGAGACATCTCCTGCTTCCAAGTTGTTTGATTAAAGATTCTAAGATGGCAGTAATTTCCAAGGAAGGATTCTCCCAAGTATGTATCAGTAAATTAGATCTTTACTTTAATACACTGACCACCACGCTGTGCAGCCTTGCAGTAAAACTATTCCTCCAACGATAGTTGCATCAGAAGTTAAAAAAATAACAACCCACAATAATTAAAACAAACACATGAAATAGTACATTTGCGATTTCACGTATACTCATATTAAAACTTACAAGTACACACAGATAGTTTTTATGCTTGAAAAAGAAATAAACATTTTCACCGGAAGATGAAGCAATTCTCGGCACATAACACAGCCTATACCTGTCGCGAAAATATATAGTTTTGTTAGCTTATTACATTAAAAATGTAACTCCGAAACGAGTGTTCAAGTGAGTCAATGAACTTTTCTCGAAACACGCCTCAGGGACCCATTACATGCATTTGAAGTAAAAGCATTTAAGCACTTCAATACACCTTTTTAATGCGTGAAAACTAACATCTATAGCCTATTTAGATGATTCCTGAAATTAAGGACCCGTTTATTAAGTTATGAGAGGACCTTTACGCTACCCAAACCAAGAAATACCCCTAACTAAAGTAATGCGAAGCTTGAAAAATAAACCTGACGGGACACCACAAAAGGCATTTCCGTCTCGACGAATTACTAGTTTGCTTTTCATCAACTTAAACACCAATCATTCAATCAAAATCATCATCAATACAATCATTTAGGCCATTTGAAATTTATTTTTATAATTTTAGGAATTGGATATTTATAGTGATATGTTTCTCTCAAACTGTGCATATTTTTCTCCACTTAAATGTATGTTTTAGGCAATCTCATCACAGAAATGGTCCTCCATTGACAGCGATTTTTTTAGATTTTATGCATGTTATAAATTTTGTTGCTGTTGGGCTCTGATTATAATGATGCAAACGTCCGTGTAATTTAATCCGTGTTCGACGTGCGACGGATATTCGGTATTTTGTTGTTGCTATTGTTTCTCATGTTTATGCCATTAACCTTTCCCCTCCATTGACTTTGGACGTGAAAAGGTAGAATTTCCCCTCCTGAAATGAACTAAATCTTGAATCAGACCAATACTCCCTTAATAACGCCCATATACAAGGATGAATTCTTGCTCCAAACACCATTTCCATCGTGTCCGTTGTCACTTTGGTTCGGTCTCGTACTGCTCTCAGAAAATCTCTCGAAGAATAGGTCTGTACATCGGAAGAAATATAAAAAAAGTCAATTGAAATGTCCCCATGACAGGACTGATTCATTACGAATTTTCTTTTTTTAAATCTGACACCTGGCGACACCTAAACGTGCAACTCGTGCTTACACGAGTATACGCCCGAATGCATGAACGATTGGAGTCTGAACCGTTGGTATACAGAACATTCTCCAGAGCAGATCATGGCTTCACTTTTGCATCGACCGATTATTCCAAGATGGCAGAAAGGTAACCTTTTTTCGTTTGCACAATGTGATCCAATCATCCGGCAGTACAGTGCAACGGACATTTTCCTGAATGGCTCACCTGCGGCTTAAAATTATACATGAATTCTATGAATGTAGTATCAAGCCACAACCAAGTAACCCGGAGACGAACGCACACAATCACACTGCATGTACACTTGCAAGTGCCCCCACCTGGATAAATCTCCAACTTTTTCGCTAAAGGGACATTATTTCGTTATTCCAGTCTACTCACAGGGATTCTATGGGTGCAATGTGGTAGTACGTCGGGGTACCATAGCCGTTGAAGCCACAGCTAAGTGTAGACACATACGCTCCCATATCTTTTCAAAGAAATGCACAACAAGTCATGGAAAAAGTACAAACCAGTGCTAAGACTACAGCACTCGAAGATACAATGTAAGATGTGGTAAGTTGAAATGTACTTTTCTATATACTATATTGCTATAGTTACACTTCATTTAAATACAGAAAGTTCAACCGCGTTTGTTTTAAAATGAAGATCAAAACCGTACTATCAAAAGAAAAGAGTTAAATGTTTTATATTTCGTGGTATATTTTTGCCATTTATAATTTTTGTTGACGAACAGTGGCAGCAGGGAATTAAAGGTCGTCATTATTTTTGCTAGTGGTAGCAGGTGAGCCACAAACTATGAACCAGTTCGGTATTCCAATAGCGCATGCGTAGTACGAGGCTATTTCGGGAACATCTCCGTGGTTAGCGCTAAGCACCTCAAACCCACCCCCCCAAAAAAAAAAAAAAAAACCAACAAAAAACACCACCCACACAGCCAAATGTGTATTTGCCTGCAACTGGGGACCCCCTATTATTCCTCTTTTGTTTGTACTTTATCTTTTTTAGAAGACCACCCACATGCTTTGTACATAGTTGTCAATCGGGGACCCTATTGTCCTCTATTACTCAGGGTCCCCAATTGAATGCAGAAACAAACTCATGTACCCACCCACTACCCCACCCTCGCTCCCCCCTCCCCCTTCCTCCCCTCTCTCCCTCCAATATGGCTGGCAAGAGAGCCTGACCCAGTGACCCGTTCGAACTCACCACGGAAAATGATAAACTCGCCAGCTCGTAGCAGCGGAAGCTTGCAGTCACGGTACACGCAGTCCAGTTGGTCACATGTCGGGCCCCAGATGCATGACGAGTAAAAAGGCTCATCCAATTCTAACTCCTGTTGTCAAAATGAAAAACTGAAGTATGACATTCGGCCACACTGACCGCATTCTGCTTGACAAAATGATATCAGCAGGGACACAGGAGGCAGGGGCCCATACAAAAGGAACAAATGTTGCAAGCGCCATTTTGAATCTCATATAATTGAAAGGGTGTTTTTCCAACAACTCCTTTTCATACTCACCCTTAATGGAAACGGTTGTCGATCGAAGGAATCTGGATCAATGCACAAGTCGTGGAATGAGTTGTACAATCCGGCATTAATGTACTGCGGTTGAGTTTTTCCATTTTCTTTGATTATTCCTGAAGCAGTAAAACGTTTACTGCAAATTGTGAAAGGGGAAAGTCCATGGCTGTATCAATTTTATGAAAATGCCTTTGAATTTACCCATTCCGCTCCTTGGTATGTCTGTCGGTTTGCCGGGCTGTCTGTCTGTCTCGGTCCGAGTCGCTTATATTCAAAGACGAAATTAAACTCAACTGTATAAGTACTAAATAAATACTTTGCACATAATGATAACAGTTTCGCTGGAATATAAAGGGTCATTTATGAAATGGCCTAAGCGAAAACACAAAAAGACGCAAAGACACAGAACTGTGTAACTCACAGAGCCATTAAAAGCAGGTAGAGGGTGTAAGACACATCATGCGTATGAAAACATATTTCCCAACGTATAGATAGGCCCATCGCATTATAAAAGAGGGAGGGTGTGACATTCCTCCTTACTTTTCTAGATGTCACATTAATCCACATTGGATGCTGCATATAAGGGCGCTGAAAACGACGCTCTTTTACCATTCTTGGAGTCTTCCGAACCGTGGGCTTCGGCTTTACGCGTGGCTATGACGTTAGCCACAAGATGCACCGCCGATTGGACGTAGAAAGTCCCTGGCTCAGCGATCACCCTCACCCCGCAGCCTGCCGGAAATGCTCCTTGAGTGATTCGCTGATAACCTCTGCGAACTGTATGCAGATTTATGTAAAAAATACACATGTGCAAAAGAAATGTCCTGAGTTTCTCCTTAACATCTGTACAATATTATTCAACCCGGTGCGAGCAAGCGTAGACCATACCGGTATTTCAGAGGAACAGACTCATTGTTTTTGTCTAGTTTTACTTTTTTTCACCTGCTGAAATCCAACTCTGAAGCTTGTTTTGCCTGGGAAACCGCCCCCGATGTCTAACAGCGTCATATCATAGCCTATGGCTTTACCGACTCTGAACAGCGTCTTGGCATAGGAGATGGCCCCAGCGAACACCTTTGGGTCCTTCGATCCAGTACCAACATGGAAACTGCGAAATTGAATATGTATGTATTATCAATCAGAACGTTGTTTTCTTTTAGGCAATACCTTTTTATGGTAAAATTACATTGATTACCATGGGGAAATCAAAATGGCTCACACGAAATTTTAAATTGTGCACGGCTCGTTGTGGTACTCCTATACTCTTATGTAATATATGTAATAACAGAAGTGTCCTTAAAAGACTGAATTCTTCTAATGCCGTCCATTCTGGTATGGAGCTTTGGTTCCGTCACAACATGGTTTTATTTTCTGTAGTCATCATTTATTAAATGATTTTGGAAGGCGAGTTTACGTCTCTTGCGTTCGTTCTCTTCGTCTCTAAATTTCCCCGTCCGAGCTTCCATAACACTCTTCACTTGCCGTCATTCCTATGGGCAATGTATGATTCAGATAAATATTTTGACGGTTTTTCAGGGATAATTTCATAAGTTAAGTTTATCTATGTACACTTAATTCGTTAAAAGACTAACTTTTGCAAGCTGTACGCTTAAATAACAGAAAAGCCGTTTTTGCAACAGCAGAAATTTCGCTCAGCGTAAGCATTATTTCATGGCGGTATTTGGTGGGGTTGTACTAACGGTTGCCTGTGCACTTAAATTTCCATTGTTAAGGTAAGTGATTTTTTTTCTCCATGGTAACTGTGCCTTTTGATGTGCTTATTGCGGCTTTATGTACATACGAAGCAAGATACGGGACGGAGAGCATCCCCCATCTTTCTGTTGGTCATTGTTTGATCGGAATCGCAGGAATTCTTTTCAGACATCTATAGACCTTTTTTCCTGTGACGTCACAATTGTGCTGGACCGCCATGTGTTGTGATGATTAATAAGTGAGATTGTTATGATGGTAGGCCTAATCTACTTATTCAAGATAAAGTAATCAATCATGCGCCGTTCGCACGGACGTTTCTACTTGACGTGCACGTGAGTTAGCAAATCACAACATCCTATTGCGCGCAACATGAATGACATCGAAGTATAAATTCTTCCAATGTCAGTTTATGAGTTCCAATTTGTACGTGCGAATTAATACGCCCACTTACGCGTTACAACTATGTATAATGGTATATAGCAGACAATGAGGCAATTACGTTAAAATGTCCTTCCTTTAGTGTGTCCCATTATATAAATTTCGTGTGGGCTTTCATTTCACACACACCTTATACCGACCACATCCATTCCCAGTGTTTTTGCTGCTTCCATCAGTCGTGGGATGCCGTCCAGCGGGCAGCCGAACTTCGATCCCAGGTTAATGACTGCACTTGGGTCATCATACTTCATTCGCAGAACAAGCCTTGAAACGCGAAGGAATGGAGTGGATTGTGGAAACAGCTCAGTCGGTAATCTATACAACTCGACATAAATGAGATGCCTATCAGCCATTAAAGTTGTTGGAGCACATCTTTAAAAGATAAACCATGCGAGAAAATTGGGCATTATCTGGTCTCGCATGTGCGACTGACGTCACCAGTGGTGTCTTTTCTTTGACCAGATGGTATAAAAAGAGGACACCTACAGCTTCCAGTAAGGAATTGAAACCTCTGGTCATACGGATCACAAAAAAAGAGATAAAACCAGATAGGATTCAACTCACTTTGCCTCTGTGAAGACGTTGCAGATCTTCCGCAGTTCATCAGCCGAGTCAAAGGTCATGAGTTTGACTCCATTCTCCTTGGCGTAGCGGAGGTGCGACCCCTGCTTGCACGGGTGGGCGTAGATGATGCGGTCCGGGCTCGCACCTGCATCCAGCACCATCTGAATCTCTCTCTTAAAAAACATGATAGAAATTACCTTCCCCCACCAAACAAAAAAAACAAAACAAAAAAAACCCAAAAAAAACCCAAAGAATTCGATGAAAACCCCCTGCCTAGCGGCAATTACTCTATATTTCGTACCTTACTTGCGCAGTCAAGACCTCTTCCTAGTCCTATTAACAGTCTCAAAATAATTGGGTCGGAATTGCACTTGACAGCTGAAATTGACAAGGAATACAAGTTAGTCTTAAATTACAAGTAAATAACATTCCCATTTGGTTAGCCTGTAAGAAAACCTCTACTGTAGCGCAAATAAAGGTGGTGAACTGTAATACATAGAGAATCCAGGTTCTGAACATACTAAAAGAGATTAAGGTGCCTAGGATTTGAATAGATCGGCTGAGAAAGTGACAACAGAAAAAAGGTTTACTGACCCCCCCCAAAAAAAACCCAAAAAAACAAAACAAAACAAGCTTTACCATAAAATGTCTCTACTGTTGGTAGCAACTCGCGCCATTTCCTGTCTTTAGCAATAACATCGCCAAGATCACAGATGTAAAAGGGGTCATCGCAATCCTACGTTAGGAGACATAGAAAATGCAAAAAACTAAAAAAAAAAATAATAATCAACCAGTTTCCTAATTTAATGTCGAAACTGAATATGGAAATAAATGTGAAATTACAACGAGCATGAACACTGCACAGACACAACGAACGGTCATGGGTATCTTCTGCCGTCAACGAAGACATCAAATTTCATACTTATCAAGAGCAAATGCCCGCGCAGTTCCATCAAAGATAATGTTACAAAGGATACAATATCGGGGCAGGGGCAATTTAAGGTCCCCTGGACATATCATGTGCAGCAAGGTATGAGACGGAGAGAACCCCGCCTGCTTTGTGTTGGTCATTGTCTTGCAGGAATCTGGGGAATTCCTTTCAGACATCTTGGGGGATATGTTAAGTAAGAATAGTCTGGAATGTGTATAGGGATTGGACATGTGGGGGGTACCCCTCGGTCTCATTTCTTGCTGGGAATAGGACATAATGCAATGTTTGTAATGAGTTGAACCCGGCCCCCCATTTTACAAATGGTGCCACCACCATTCTTATGGGTGACGTTTCTGTTGATGAAAAAAGGTAAAGGAAGGTTAGGGGGCCTGTTTTGTGATTGCAATGGCGTCTCCGTGTAGTGAACCCGCTCTTCTCCCTCACTGGATGTGTCACTGTAAAGAACTAGTTCAAATACTACGTGGTAATGATTGTTTTTGTGCATGGCGTCCTCCCTTTTAACCGAGCACAGTCACAGCCTTGCACAGTGATCAAAGATTTCCGTACCGTACTATCACTATTTTTGAGATTCATGTACAAACCAATCATGTTAACCAATCAGCTATTCCTATTGGTCGAGAGCCCGTCATGTGGCCGGTCTTTGACGATAAAACACCAACTGCAACATAGTGGCCCTAAACAAGGACCATTCACCTTACAATTGCGTTCACACAACGACCACGCCAATGTCACACACAGGCCATGGTCTGCGTACAGATCTGCCTCCGCCTGGCATTGACAGCTTCAACAATATGGCTGTCAACTTGACGGCAGTATCTGCCCAATCTGTCTTTGCTAACTGCACATTCACGGGCAAAGTCGTAGTAAAAATGGCCTGCAATTATCACAATTGTCACCAGAATCCCTTTCAGATGACGCTAAGCAATAATTTGGCAGCATTTACCAATTATTTGTTCTAAAAATGAGCGTAATGTAGCAGAGCTGAGAAGACACGTAGTACGTAGTACTAGTACGTAGTTTTGTGCGAAATTGACGCGAATCATAAGACTGTTTACTGTAATGCCTACGCTGGAAAGTATATTACAGAAATTTTGACTTTTGTCGTTTCAAAAGTTTATAACTTGAAATCTGGGTTTACATTTATTACCCTTTTCCTCGATTTTTCAACGGCAGTGACAACTGTAGTCTGGTATCTGATCTGGTTCATACTTTTTTAAATTGAGTCGAGGCAGACACAAGTCGGTTAGGAGTAGCCCATGAACATGAGTGAGAAAAAATGCACAAAAAAGTTGCGAAAAGACAAGTTTTGCGTACAAATTTCCAGCAAATTTTGCTGAATTCTACAAACAGGTATATATGAATAGGAATGAATTAATAATAACTGATAATTGCGTGGACCGAATTACCAGCCTTCATGCTCCTGAGCCGGTCTTAATCGGGAAATCTCCGCACCAACTCAAAAATATACAATATGTCGGACATCAACATTGGAGCCAGCAGAATTACAACGTGACTTCGAACAGAAAATATACAGACGTACCCGCTTCGCTGAGGGATTTGCCTTAATAATCCCTTTGGCCGTGTCCGAAATCGATTGCCTGTCGTACAGGCTTATTGCAGTTCCCAGGTGGGCTGATTTAAACTGTGTTCTGTTTGCACTGTCCATGCCGTGATCATTTACACAATGAACTCTACTGATCCCGACGGCTTGCATTGTAAATCACCAGGTCACTCGTTTTTGTGAATAAAGCGCTGGAAGGAGAAATACATGCGATCCGTTCAAAGTGGGGCTCGAAATGAGAGTATTTATGGTAATGTAGTAGACCTGGGCCAAATTTCACGGTGCTGCTAAGCAGACACCATGTATTTCATTGAGACCGTGGGCAGTAAACATGGCAAACGGTGGGCCAACCTTGGAGAGAAGAAACCGCTTAACGTGGTAACATGAAGCAGCACTTACTAGGTGATACTTTTTTTCTGCTTTAGTAAGTACGACTTTCCCGCTAACTGTTAATCAGCTCTGTGATATTGCTTGCCACTGATCATGCACGCGCGAATATTATTGAAAATGGCGGCAAGTGTATCTGGGCAGTTCAAACTTCAGGGACATACCGGTCACTCACAGAAGTCTTCATTTCTTTCTGTCCGTCTTCCTTCATTTCTCACAGCTTTCTGAGACTGCTTAGGATATGATATTATAACTGGGAACATAGAGCCTGATCCCAAAGGGTTCGTATTACTTTTACTTCATCATGACGTCATCAAGGGTTAAAAAGCAATTTGAGTTTTTATATTTTTCAGTCTTTAAAAATCCGTTTGAAATCAATCGTGCCATCCGTCGTCTTGCAAAGTACCTAAAAAGGTATAACAGTTTTGTCCGTTGATGTCTGTAGCGAAATGCTGCTGTAATCATTTGAAAATTGGTCGTTATAACTACCTCAATGTAGACAGCATGTGTGTCTAGTACTGTTTGAATGCAAGCAGCACCGAAGAAAAGCCTCCAGCGACCTTCGAGAGCGCACAGACACCGCGAGAAGGCATACGCAGAATAATACGCTAATAATGTGAAAGTCCTGAAGAGAAATTATTTTACACTGAAATTTATTTGAGAACAAAAGATATGACTTTTCCACTTAGTTTTATACAGAGGAATTCAAAGCAAGGAAATAAAAGTTAATTTTATGAACTCTGCACTTCCAATGATTTGTTCTTTTTTTTAAAGTCTATTTTTTTGTATGAAATGTTCTTCTACAACCAGGGCAAAGACATACAAGTATTACATTAAAACGCAAAAAAACCCCTTGTACTCTATGACCTTTGGTGACTTTTTTGCACCTGCCCCCACTTCCAACCCCACCACCACCAACTAGAGCTATTGAAACCACACATAATTTGTAATAAGGGCAATTACAAGAAATCCAACTCCTAAAATGACACCTATAGCAGACGCAGACAGATTAGCTTGCTCAAGCCTTTCTATAAATATCTCCTCTTCCTTGCTGCACTGCAGTAGTACCAATCAAAGGTACCGGAGGCTCTGTCTGGGCCAGAGGGTAGTTATAAGAACATCCATTGATGATATTCACGCTCTGGGCATGCAGTACGTAATTGGTGTCTGGTAAGGAAGGCGGCTCGATGGCCCCACATAAGGGGAACAAAATGTAAAGGTGGCAAGCCTGAATTTCTGCGGTTGGCTTGGGCCAACCAATGATCTCTACACGTACGCCAAAGTTGACAGCCTTAAAAATGATCAGCGACTGAGTAAGCGAAAACAAAAAAGGCAATAACTTTTTGGTGTTTTGGGTACTCTGAAAGTAAATTTATTAGGTCGTTATTTCAATATTTATAAAAGTAAAGGAAATTAATATAAATCATTTCAATTATATGCCCATTGAGATTAACAATTTCCTTTCAAAAACATTTGTTTCATATAGTGACGTCACAATGACATCATCGATGAATTTGTATGCATGTTTCAGAGGCATTGTCACACGAAATGAAAATTTGACTGATCACTCATGCGTTGGAAACTCAAACGCCAATCTCTAGTCAATTCTTTATTTCGTACGTCAGATACCCCACTTAGGTAAGAAAGAAATGGACGTATTACTTATGGGATTTCTTTAAGACAAAAATGGAAAACCTCGGAGAATCTAAAGTTTGTACCCATGTACATTTTTACTGGGTAGCTTGAGCTTCTTGCCGCCATGGCCATTTATGCCCATGAGTGCAAAACTATGAATTAATTTTATAGTGGAAAGATCCAGAAGAAATTTCAGGCATAAAAAATCACATCCGAACCTCAAGAAAATTCTTAATTACTATAAACATTATGAACGTTATTTTCGAAAAAAATACTGAAAATTAACATAAAATGGGCAGTTCACTGACGCGTAAGCTTATGTCGTTTATTACAAAAGTAAGCGTGCACGATAATGTCATAACAATGGGCGTCATTTGATTTTGCGCTCTATGATTGCAAAACTAGGTGCCGTCTTTGTTAAGGATTATTTAATCAATCAGTATTTACAACTGGGGACGCTGTGAACAACTGTTTGTTTATTTGTCTCGTCAACTAAGTTTTTGGGACCAATTTTTAACAATGGAGTGCTTTGCCTTTACATTCAAGGTAGGCTACTGTCAGTGAAGCTCAGCCTGCTTTGGGCCTAGTTGTTCTGTACTGTTTATTTTATAAGATTTATCATCATTTATGTATTCGACTATAACTAATATACAGGATGATATCGAAAATCTGAAAATACAAAGCAAGTAACACAGCACAATATACCGACGGGGTATGCAATGTATAGACGATAACAAGAGGGCAATTATAGACACATATGACAACAGCAGATCCATGAAAAATTAAGGGGGTTGGGTGTTTGAAGGGAGTATACAGGTGTGAGAAGGCAATCAATAAATAACAAACAAAAAACGCAAAACTGTCCGAAAAAAATACTGTGCGGATCTGGAACAACGAAGGTAGATTTATGTTGCTGGGAAACATCTGCTTATACAGATACACGTAATAGAAAAGATGATTATATAGAATTTATTTTGTGCTCAAATAATTTGTGAATTGGCTACACCGGCACATTGAGGGATGTTAGCAACTTAGCACGGATGTTGGTGGAGATGCTCAAATAGTATTACAGTGCACTAGTTAATTGTAAATGAAGTAGGTGCTACATCATCATTCATCAAAAGGGGTGTGGTATCTTTCTGATTATTTCGACGATTGCCCCCGGCAAGACTGCTCCTCCTACTGCTCTCATCATCGGTCTCCGGAAGTAAAATGAGCTCAGCATCCTTTACGTACACGTAACCCCTCGCAATCAACAGAAAGCAGACAAAATTGATGGTCATTATCACGGCAAGAAGGAAAAAGAAGTACTCGAGGTGGCCGTAGTTGATTTCATCGGGTATCCACTCATCTTCTGTAATTACAAATCGAAAGAGCAGGTGGTTTTCCTTCTTTACAACACAACTGCATTTTCAAATTTGGTTTTCAACACCAAAGTGTGTTTGACTCCCAGACCAAAATAATTTGAATATTTGGAAGAATGAAGAGTTGGGTGAAAACCACGGTCTAGTAACCAAATGGGAGGAATTCTTTCTCTAAAAATTTCCAACGTCGACAATTATGTTTTCTTTGGTGATTTTGATTACGTATTGCCCCTTCTATACGCAAGCTGAACCCCAGAAACTTTATCGTACATTTTATTGTATGTTATGGTCTGTGATGGCAATGCCATTACAACTTATCACATGCTGGGGGAATTGACAGGTTTTTGAACCAGATTGATACATACATGTACGAAGTAATTCATTCACATGATTCAAGCTTGACACTAGTTATTATCTGCTCTAGATAGTAACTTGGTCTCTTAGTACTGTAGTCAGGTATTACGAATGTTGTTTTAGTGCTGGACATTTCGTGAATGCCTATTCATGGGAACTTGCATTTACCCACACGATACAGTAACAGTTTAACAAATTCAAAGCGTACTTATGCAAATACATAAATACATACATATTTCCCACATACAAAATGTATGTGCAAAAGTCAATACAATGAGCATTTTAGTCAAATTTGACTCTAGCCTTGTGGAAAAATTGCAAAAGGGTTGTTAGATAGCTTCAGTCAACGATAGTAGTTAATTTGGCAGAGATACATGTTTCTTGATCCAAGTTCCAAGTTTCCGTGTTAACCACAACTGAAGTAAACCATTTCTAAAAACTCATATGTGACTTGCCTGATGTAATTGCATTTACGACTACAACGAGTAGTGATCCAATGTAGCTGCCAAGTCCAGATGTTAAGAGAAAGAGCCCCATGACTACTCCTTGCATAGCTTTTGGGGATTGAGAATATGCGAACTCCAGGCCTGCAACGAGGAAACAAGTTTGTAGGTGACAAAATAAAGCATCTTTCTTGAACTGGATATCTTATGATTTAATTTGTTAGTGGAAGAATCCAGAAAAAATGTAAGACGTAAAAGGCACACCAATGCCCCTCTGCTCCTATTTACATCGCTTGTAATCAGACTAATTGGGTATGCAAACTCTGAACAGAGGATACCATAGATTTTAAGTAGGGCACATTCATACCAATGTTAAAAAACGAAAACAAATGTTTTTATCATTTGTACCTGTTTTTCATATATATATCCATCAGCAGACAGACATTGTAAGGCAACATTTTTATAAACCATCTGCTGTAGCGTCAGCAATACAGCCCAATACACGCCACGCTGATGATCCCAAACAGTATCTCATTGGTCTAAATTCACTGGCATGATTCACTAGTACAATAGGGGAGGGGATATTTTCTTCACAACCATGTGCAGTGGGGATTGTGTATGCAAACACATGCTAAGACATTGGACAGGGGGTGTTTCAGGCTGGCTTCAGTGACTGCCTGGGGTTATTCCAAGATTGAACCCCCCTCCAAAAGTAGCAGCACGAGGATTTAGGAAAAGTCACGAGGGATTGGGTGGGTCATCTGTAGCATTTGGAAAAACAATCAGATGACGTGATCTGTGACCAAAGGTTGTCCCACCTCTCATGCGAAACGACAGAAACGATACCCACTACAATCAACAAAAAAGAATTACGTGAGACCACCTTGACGCTCTAGCCAACCACAGGAGGCTGGGAATTCCTGCGGAAGTAAGAACATGGACTACAAAAACCAACTTGAAAGTGGTATCGAATAGTTAAGGAATGTAATACGTGGACGGATACTCCACTCATCACCTTGCAGCCAAGAAGTTGTGGACATCTTGGAACTACTGTGCAAAGAGCCACACAAACTGGTCGTGATGCGGGTATGAACGTGAATTACCCTTACACTAAACTGGAACACTATTATATACGTTTCCTATTCTTTTTCTGAAGAACGTGCTATGCCGACAAATTGGTACTAGAGGCAGCTCTTTGGGTGGCAAGATATAGATGCCCTGTATGCTTGCAAGATATCGTATAAATATGCACTTGCCTGTAATACTTGTAAACACCTCACTGGCTCCTATCAATGTGTACTGAGGGATCTGTGCAAAAATTGACAACTCAGATGCATTGAAAGCTTTGTTGGCCAATTCCTGTTTGAAGTATCCATACTCCTCAATGTTTGCTTTTCGCGCAAATTCAATTCCGGCAGCAATCACCATGGACAATACAGCCAAGACCATTCCAATACCTGCGTGACAAAAAGTGTAATACAATTCGTCTATATTTCCGAATAAATACTAAATATACATAAGCTTGTTCCATCTCCTGGAAGGCAACTATGAATTCCATGTTGTTTGCTTGAAGTTTATTCCTCCGATGACAACTTTCCTGTTTGTCATTTCTTTCACAGTATTTGCTCCGGGATAAGTTGGGGAAGTTAAATTAATTTCAGTCTTGGCAAATTTTTATGGAAATAGTGTGCAACACCAATTTTGCTTTCTTGCTCACTTCCACACAATTTAATGATCCATATACAAAGCATTTTATTATTCTTACCAATTCTCCTCAGTGACGAGAGCGGATATCCAAGCTTGGCCATAAACGGGTAGAAGACACGATCCACAAAAGGAATGAGGACAAGAATAATTACAATGTCGAAGAGGTTAATAGCAGCTACTGGAATGGTGAAGTTATTGTAGACGATACGCATACGCTCACCTTGCAGCAAATAGGTTGTGGACATCTGGGAACAAGTAATTTGTCAAAAAAAAATAAGATTTAACAAGTGGTTCACTAAATCTAAAAATACTTACAAAGTGAATCCTTCAAGAATGCTCCTGCAAAACCAACCGTTTCAGCAATAGCCCCATCCCTTACTTTACCAGGCTCTTCTCAAGGTCTTCTTCCTTGCTCCGTTTATCTCTATCCAATGCAGTGTCTGTCTGTTAAATTGTAAAGCTTGCTCTTTGTGCACCTTTGTGCTACAGTTCAGCCTTATCTGATGCCAGATATATTTTTAATAAACAGGACTTTTTGCACTAAGTATGAACCGTTTTATAGGCCTTTTGAACATGAGTGGCCTGATAACAGTCCTTCACTTTCATATTCCTCGCTAGACAATATGCTTTACGAATTAATTATTGTACTTTAAATAGGCATATTATGTGTTTTAAAGGACAAATCTACCCCCTCCCCCGATATGGAAAACTTTCGCGCATTTGCTCAACAGCATCGACAGGGAGACCCACAGCACGGGAAACACCAGGCTCACAATGCCCCACTCAGCACGCTTTCATTCATAAAAAAATGCAAATCTTTATTTCACCGTCTCGCTCAATACTGAAGAGCCTGGTTTCTCCCTTCATGTTGGTCTGAACGCCGACGAAGATTTCAGCTGAGAACATCTGGCGTTTTTCATTCAAAAATCAAGTAAAATTTGTAAAAAGAAATGTATTTCCTATGGAGGTCAACAGGAAAATGAATGCCTCTCCCGTGGGTTTGCTCACTGATTGAAACGGCGAAAATGTTAACGCCATCGTACTAAGCCATCTCGGACGCCAAATAAAAAAAATAGAAGAGATTCTCTTTCCATTTATGTAAAAGTTATTTTGATTGGCCGAGAATAAAGTGTGGCTTTTCCAATTATAAGGAGCGTTTCGTGTTTGTTGGTGACCCCGTAATACATGCAAGTAAATGTAGTCTGGTTCTGCAATCCTCTCACACAAGTGGACACGAAAGAAGACACAACTGCTCTCGAGGAGTTTCAATCTTTCTCACAATTGTCGTTTGCTTTGTGTAGCAGTTCCTAAAATAATTAATAGTATAACAATCAGTTATGCTGTGATGCTCACAACACTTTTCATTGAGAAAACCACACGAATTTTCGCTTACTAAAGCAAAAATAGATGCCGTGTTGTGTATTAATTTCAACATTAACCTGCCTTGTGAGGGTGGTGCCTCGTGCATTTGCTTGCAGTGCAGTGTACAGATTTGATGAGACATGGAGAATTTCCTTCCTTCGTGGACGAGGAATGTATGGATTTTTCTTTCACTTCATTGTTGATTTTTATGTATTGTAGCGTGTCCCGCTGCACAGGATTCGACGCTGTAAGAACGACACTCAGGTGCAACTCACTGTTCTGGTCACAAAAATCTCTGCTTTATTCTGTCGCAATCTGACAGCACCACAATGTCCTCTTCCGACAAACCTTTTTAACATGACGCCTGAAGGCAGGGACTGCGCAGGCGCGAGGCGGGAAAACCGCGGGCCGTTCGCAACCAGCGCGGGCAGCCAGCCAACTCCATGCGGGTCCGAGCTGGCGCCCCCACCGGCCGGACCCGCCGGCGCTACAGTATTAAGAGGAACGCCAAAAGCGTTTTCTGTGGAGTCCAAAGCTTACATGATTGTACATGTACATTCTCTGCTCCCCCATTGCAGGAAATGGCCCTGTCCATTGACTGGAGATAAACAATTAGGGTTGTGGGGGTCAAGGCCGACACAAGTTGCTGCACAGCGGTCAATTCTCTTCTGCGCGAAATGTGGTGAAAGTTTTCCATATAGAGATTGCATCGTACATCATTGATAATAGATGGGCAAAGTGCATGTGCATTGTTACATGTGTAAGTTGTTTTGATGTGTGTAATTTAGTGTGCAGCTTATTTAATTTTAATGACTTTTAAATGCATGGTTATTTCAGCAAACATATACATTTTCTCTTTTATAGTTTTGAAAATGAATAATAGAGATAAGAAATGCACTGTAGGCCTATGAGATAGCTCCAAGCGTGTGGTATATAGGCCTACTAGGATTTTAAGTGAAGAGCAAGGAACTACATCAATCTTACAAAACCCGAACTAACGGTTTTGAACATTGGGAGTTCAGGTATTTGTGATGGGTTGATGTGTCAGCCAGTTCTTTAACCTGTTTAGGCAAAAGACATACCACTCTCATGGACACAGGCTAATATGTCCAACACAGGTTTTTGATAGGCGTTCTAGAGTCGCGCCGAAACAAATTATAAGCAAGTTTTGAATTACGTAAAGTAAAAATAGACGTCAGAAAAAAATAGGAGCGACTTGGCGTGCTACCAGGCGAGGGATCGACACTTGAAGGCGCTCAGAAAGACGTCGTTCCTTTTACGGGCCCAACGCAATGCACGTGTGTGTGTATTAATTTCGTCTTTCTGAAACCAAAGTTTAAGTTGGGTCGACCCGAGTCGCTCTTAATTCTGTTTGGTTTTGTGCGACCCCAGAACGGGTGTTTACTAAGCTTCCTCATATCATACACATGACTCGTCCACTACCAAATGTGAGCTGGTTGAACACAAAAAATAACCTACACACCTGGTTGTACACAGTCCAGTAGAAGATGATGACAGCAAAGACAGGTAGAATTCTTCCCAGGGACTTCACCTCGTTGACCTTAACATCGGGAAAATGACCGCCAAAGCTCTGCTTGGCGCTATCGAGCCAGCTGGTCCTCTTGTCTTTCCTTGCACCGGGCTTACGTCCTCTGATGATAGCCTCCCAGATGATTTTGGCAACAGTTGTGAAAACGCTCCCTTGAGGGAAAAATGTGAAATAAATCGTGAAATTCTAGGGGAAAATTGATTCTGCTGCGTCTGGTCTTCGTGGTAAAATGATGCCCGATCATTGCCGTCATTTCCGAGGAGACAAAAACCACACTTGTCAACCAAACTCAACAAAAATGCACGACAGCAAAGTTAAACACATATTATATTTCATTCAACAATGTTTATCTTACGAAGCCCTTCAAAAGCAAAACAAGCATCAAATCTGGGACTTGCATAGCATATGCACATTGCAGTGCTATTACACTGGAATTGAATCATGTTAGACATAACTGCAAGTTGTGGGCCTTATCACTCAGACACTTGAAACAAATCATAAACCTGCCATTTGTGATTTCACACTTGTAAGTTTCAAACACTCAAGTGAAAATTCAAAATGTTTGAAAATGTTGTGAGGGATGGACAGAGTCTTACACCTTAACTAAAGAAATGAAGAGAAAAAAATGGTCTCACCCTCTGGCGGCCTCATACGATACCACTTTCGACCAATCAAAAGCATGATAATTGCCACAACAAGGGCACATGCTGGAATGGCAAACCCAACATCAAACCCAATTTCCTGTTGCACATACACCACAGCTGAAAAGGCGACAGCCGAACCCACATTGATGAACCAGTAGAACCTTTACATGAAAATTAATGACATGTCATTATCAAAAAGTCAAAGATTAATGGCAATACATGTAAAACACCAAAGTATTACATGTAGGCCTATCATCGTATTTGTACGTAGCAATCTTACAATAAAATTTTAATGCCCTTTCCCACTGATTTTGTTTTAATTTTTTTTTTGAAAAGTTCAGTTTGCTCTTTGTTTTTACCGATCACTTAGTTTGGCACCAAGATGAGAATGGGCAATATGTGAGGAGAATTCTTGAGGGTTCCTTACGATTCACATTGAAAAGGATTCATTCAAGGCCTCCACCTAAAAGTACCAGTGGTTCTGCGAATCGTGAGCGCCAACAATTGTCAATCTTCTCTGCGCCAGGTGAAGGAAGGATTGAGCAATATAAGAGTTCAACGCACGTAAATTGAACTCGTCAACTACAGCTGTATGTCAGAATCTCACCAGTTGAAGAAGGTTTTGACCGCACCTTCCCCCTTATCATCCAACTGTTGGGCTCCAAAAGGGCCAACGTTGGATTTGATGCCTCCTGTACCGACAGCAATGATGGCAATACCAAAAAGGAAAAAGCCTCGCTGCTGGCCGGTTGAAAGCCCGAGGTGAGGGCCGTACTTGGTGTAATCGATGGAGATCAGTGGAAGTAAAGTTGTGCCTGGTTTTGAGAAGTAAGACAATGAAACGTGAAAAAAATACAGTTTTGGGACTGTTATTTCTCAGACTTTTTATTCTCCACACTTGATCGTGTTTGAGCGGGGACGTTGGGTACCTCACCCAAAACCATTTGGCGCTGGATGACATGTTAACACCACAATTTTCATTTTTGTTCGTTTTAAGAATTCTTGTTTCATTTCCGCGGTTGATGTATCCACACGTGCATTCACTACTCTGCCTTTGTGCACCACTTAATTGAGAGTTAGCGCATGTGCAATCGATCACTTTGCCTTGGATTTTGAGGCAGACTGCGGGGGACACCGCTCTGACACTTCTTTCTGCGAATGGAGACCATAATTTATTTGAACAAAATACAATCAAAGTTCACGGACATAACATGATAACTAAAAAGTGATTAGACAACATTAGACCACCGTATTTTAAGGAAACAGTAACACAAAATTTGAAACAAACTCTGAAAGTGATTTGAAAATAAACACGACCATGCATATTTGAAAGAAAGTAGGTCCACTGTCATTCCCTTTTAAAACCATTTTTACATTTTAACGAAAAAAAAACGTTCTGTATTGAGACCTGATAAAAACATCGGTAGTATTTTCAGGTTAATGTGAATTGAACATTTTGCACAAGAAACATTTCTCCGTATCAGTGCATATGGAGTACAATGTACATGTTCACAAATTAATCCTGGCCGACCATCAATCTACAGATAGCCAAAATTGAAATTGGTGAAACAAATGAAGGACAATCCGCGATAGCTTAAACATAACATGATATCCCCTTTCAAATACTTTTTTCAATTACTAATATATGCAGATGTGCGGAAAAACTGGGGAGCAATTCAAAATTTTGATTAAATGTAATGCACACAGACATATTTAACTCCATTTTCTCCGAAATGTCACTTATAGTTGTTTGCTGGCTGGCGTCGCCATTTCAACAAACAACAGAATTTTAGCGCATGCGCACAAACTAAACGGAAAGGGTGAACATACATATTCAAACATTGTGCTTGGTAGACTCAAAGCGTGGAAGACGATCCCACACACGACCGGTGCTACGAAGTGGACCCTCACATCCCCAATAATCTGGAAGCGCCTTTCTTGAGTAATTAGAGTTGAATCTGGGAGCTCACACTATTCAGAAAAGAACTACCGGATTACATTCTTTTTTTGGGTAAGTCAAATTGCTGGGGGGAAACCACACTTACAAAAGAGATGAGGTTACAAAAATCCTAACCAGCAACTCCTTTGTATCGAAATTACTGGCAAAAATGGCCCCGGTTGACGCCCATACATGTATACGCTAGGACCTTTTGTATGTGAACCGGTTAATGTTTGGGCATGCGTAACAGTTTTTAGCAGGGCTGCTAGAAACAACGAACTCAGGTGAAAATAATGAAATCCCGAGGCCCAAATTCAAGAATTGTGCCCCCGTACATATTTTGGGGCTCAAGAAATAAATTGCAAGGTTGAAAAATTTCAAAAACAAAAAACCCGCCCGAGCAGTTCTTTTTGGGGACAACATTAAGCTCTCCTGCGGTTGGTCGACCACTTACCGACTTGATGAATTTTCAGTTTTGAATACGACGCGTGAGAATAGCGGAAACATTCCACGTGAACTCCTTGAATGTATATATGTACATGAGTTACCTTGAACACAGCACGTGTTCTTTGCCGCCACACATCGCCCTCAAATTCGGTAATTTTTACAGACATGTAGTTTCTTGCTGATTAATTGGTGAAACTCATGTTATATGACATAACATTATTGCCATTCACGTTGGAGCTCAAAAGTCCCGTTCGCACATGGTGAAACGGATTGGCCGTTCAACAATTAGGATCATCCTTGTTCCTCAGGCGAGTCGTACGCGCCAGGTAGAGGACACCGCTTTAACAAGAGCACTAATTTCAAGGAGTGACTGTAACATCATTTATTCCTTGATTCAAAAATATTAACGTTTTTCCCAAATGGAAACTGCATGGAAAGCGATGTAAATGTGTATAATTAGGTGAACCACTACTGTGACAGCTAATACACTGTTGGCAACCAATATCCAACTTAGCCCATAAAACCTGAGTCTACTGTGAGGAAAAACATGCCTGACTTCTTTTTTTTGTTTTTCAGATGTTCATCATGACTGTCAAAACTTATGCATGAACAGATGGAAGAGTGTGTCTCTCAATATGCACTTGCCTATGCAATAAATGAGAGCGGCTCCAAGTATAGCATTGAATTTCCCCGATACCGTGTCGGCGATCCATCCACCTAGCACCGGCAAAAAGTAAGATGTTCCCGTGAAGATGAGGGAAATCGTGGTTGCATCGGCACTGGAGAATTTCAGGCTATTGGTGCAGTAAAGCACCAGATTGCCTGCGATGCTGTAATAGGTCAGCCGCTCGCACAATTCACACACGAGTATGCATAGGACCACTCCGAGCCGATCTCGCTGGAAGCCAAAGGATTCGGTGGGGGCCGGTAAATCCACAAAGGCCGTCTCCGATTTCTCTGCACTTCCATCCTTGGCCGAAACTTTCATAGGCTTGTTGATTCCTTCAGGACTCTTGTTCGCCATGTTGATGTATACGTCTGACACCGCTGAGCTTCAGCTCATCCGCACCCGTGACAGTGTCATGTGACGACCAGGAATAACTACTACAAATATTGCATATGTCTAAAATGATAAACAGTGATGAAGTACAAGCTCAGATACGGGTGCACTCCAGAGCAAACACTTATGAAAGCAAGATTAGAATGAACAAAGTACACAAGTCAATTTCTACCAAGTAGTCCAAATGCGTATCTTGTCATGAAAAGATGCATATGATATGGGTACAAGCCGCAGCCCCCCCGCTAAATAACTTGTGCGTTGTGAAGTGAATATACCAACGTAGGATATCACACACCTTATTTCTAATCTAGCTTAGACAAAAAAACAAAACAAAACAAAACACTAGCATTAGGTCAATGTTGATGAAATTAAGCTGCGTGATTTTTTAATGCAAGTTGAAGCACAAAAAAAAAATGCATTTGGGGACCAGTAACCTTTCAAAATGCACGTCCCCTACCGCAGTACAAGCAAATTCATGGGCACAAACAAACGCTTCATTTTTACACTTGGGGCGTAGTCAGCCTTTGCGTTCTTTAAAACTTATGCTTTAATTTGTGTATGTACATAGGTTTACGCACGCAGGTTTACTAGTGTGTTACAAGCACCGTTGTGTAAACCGATGCCAAATAAAACCCAGTGTAATTGACCCCTTACAAGAGCCCCCTTGTGTAATCTCTCTCTTATTTACGAGAGCGGTCATTTCATATTTTCAAGAGCATCTTTTGGGGGGCAGTTTCCTTACCTCAAATCTAACTTCAGGAGCAGTCAAAAAATTATGAGGGGGATATTGAAAAGTCCAAATTGTTGCAATTTATGTCAGGGCATATTGCCTTAACCTTAAACACAGTGTGTCCTGTGGAGGTTTCATTTTTTCTGCATTTGGTTATAACAGAAAAGCGATATCAGCAGTGGTTTACGGCTGTTAACGGGATCGTCAATTTTTTTTTCTGGCTAAATCCTAGACTAGATCAAACAGAAAGTCTGTGAGTATGCAGAAAAACTACAGGAAGAGGCCAATTGTTATGCACTAAGAATCCAGGCGTTTGTCATCTTGTCTAGTACCCTGTCAGTGTACATTTCGTAAGTGAACTTTTCTTATAGGTAAAGATGCCAGGGCTAATCACTGCAGGGCGACTTACTTTGATTGTAGATTGAGCTATTGTACAAGCTTGCCTAATGACTTTTGCAACAGAGTATAATTTTGTTGTAGTCATTATGTGGTGGCGGAGGTCGTGGTAGTTGTCTTATTCCTTGTGCAATTTCTTGTTTCTTGTTTGACGACTTTTACAAAGATAACTGCAAATAAAATCAAGGGGGCATGTCACGTAAGGCTGAAAACGTTAAAACGACAACGTGAGCGTTGTGCAGCTGTATGAGAACTTTCCACTTTGCGGTCTTTGGGAAACATTCAGCTTAGAAAGTTTACTCCAAGCTCATCGCTCTTAGTACTTTTTTTGGTCGTGTACCATCACTGGACTGATACCATCGTGACCGCTGATCACCACAGAGCATATTGGTTAATCTTATACTATGGGAGGATAGGTTTTTAAAATAATTTTAGGAGTGATTTTTTAATATTTGTTGGACTATTTTACAATAGTTTGCTGTGTTGAATACATTAGCCACAAACAAGATATGTCACGTCGCATTAACGCTGTACTGGATGTGCATTGTAGGCCACCTTGGTGACATACGTGCTGTTCGAACAGCCTACTTGCCGGCAATGTGTACTTTGCATCGTCGGGGCATGACGAACTTTGATTTCCATGATTACTTACAAATTCAGAGTAAGCTTTCTACACATAATGCAGTGTTCATTCCCATGTATCAATACATGCTGCAGTTCCACAATACTTGTAGTTATGCTGATGGGAATGTTGTTTATCATGTCGCCTTTTACCTCTATTTGTTACTTTTTGCAATGGCTACATATTTGGCTGAAATGCCCTTGTCTTTTCATCGCATGGGGGTGTTTTGATGTGAAATGCTCCAGTGATAAAGAGCTGAGATGAACGCCGTGAATGAAGAATTAAAATAAATATTATTTTGCTTGCACATCGGGTCTCCGACTGGGGGGGGGCATAATTGGTGCCTTATCTTCTATCACTGGAAGATGTACCTACCCCTCCGGCCCGTCTCACCACTAGGGGGTAGCCTAGAATGCCAACCTTGATGCTAACCAGAAGCTTAAAAAAAAAAGCAAATCCTGCAAAGATGTTCAGGGCACGTATTTTTTTCCTAAAGCAAGATCCAGCAGTTTTGAAAGAGGGCGCCCTCTGTGCGTGTGCATTATTCATAATTCCGTCTATGGCTGTAGGAGCGGTTATATAATAATGTATAACGATTTTAATTCACTGGAGTTTAGCAGCCAGATTGGTCGGGAGTTAGTCCGACTTGAAATCCTCCGTGCTAGGTTCGAATCCTCTCTTTCGTTTTACGACTCTCTTTTAACGATCCCAGTGCGTCGCAATTAGAGGATAAAATAAATGCTTGTTGAAACTGAAGAAATCCGTCGTCGAAACTAACAGCAATACTGATGGAGCAGGATCTATTGTGGGTAGTGGTTTCATTCGTGATTCACTTTTTGGGCTCTCGAGATGGAAGAAGCAAAACAAACTGTTTTTGGACATTTTGATTCAAGTGCCACACGGAGCGTGAAAAGGAAAGCATTGTCACACTGGTTCCTATTTTCAGTTCTCCATATATCCACACTTTACTGAGACTATGCTTAAGGTTGGATTTCGAAACGCAAGTACAGAAGTTGTGAACTTATCCAAATCTGCAATTGCGGTGTCTTGGCAAGGCACTTATTGATTTCTCCAAACAGCGAGCTTTATGTCCAGATTTTTTGTTATCACGGAAATATCTGGGAAAGAAAGAACAGAACAAAGCCTGGGTTTCTGTAGCGGACGGTAATGTTTTCCAACAGACACCCTCACGGCAATTATTACCAGTACCACTTGGGCTGTTCTTTATAGAGAGACATTATTTTGCAAATCACCTGAAGCACCATGTAGAGATACAGAAAGTGTGTTGCAGAAATTTCACTAGAACGCAGCCCTCGTTGGTGTGTTTGCCTTGACACACCCAGCCTGCACATTCCGGCATATCTGCAATTCCTATGCATTGTTCACGTGCCACTCCTGTGCTTTGTACGCTACACAGCAAGTCTAAGTGTTGCCACGCCGAGGTGCTTCCTCCATACAGGTAAGCTAGCATGCACATCATCCCTACGATCGGATGGCTCAGGTGTTGTGGTCATGTCTGCCAACTTCTGCACAGTCAGCTAAAAGGTGGCACTTTTCAGCAAGGCAGAGTCAGGTTCTATCCGAATGGCCGCCCAACTCTGCAATCCCTAGAGTGGGTGGAGGATGATCCACGGCACTTAGCGATCCTAGCAGTTTGGCTGGAATACCCATGTTCGAGGAGGGTCGAGCGGCTGCTCCAACCAACCAAACATGTTGCAGGCACTGTTTAGTTTAAGGATTTCTTCCACTTTGTGTTGAGCAAGCTACACCTACTGATACTACTCGTCAAAAAGGAACCTCTGGCAAAGTCAGTTTGGAACAGCAACATTTTCGAAAATAACTATCCAACAATGTTAAGAATATGCTTGGCACAGCCTTTTCTTTTAAAACTTGCATTTGGAGATTTTCATTCAAAACGGGAGGAAAGTTCTGAGTTTTCTGTGTTAGACGTTGTTGGTACTGTTTGGTAACTTGAAGTATTCACGGATGGCCTTCTTTCTGCCTTTTTTACCGGTTTTATTCAGATGTATCCGAAAGTGACAAATGGTGCCAAGAATTTACATAATTCTGAACACAATGGAATAATTATTTCCAGAGATTTTCGTGTTCTTTATCCATTGCGATGGGGATATGAAGAGTTAAATCTTCGAGATGTTGTATTCCCCTTCTAGAATCAGCTTTCGTCCGACTAGGTGGTGAGTACACATCTATTTTATGTCTTACCTATCAACTGAAAATGTAAAGCAAAAGATTTAAGAAATGTACTTAAGAAAGATTCTCATGTAAAATAAATGGGGAAGAGTTCTGACAGCAATCTTTGCTCAAAATTTCCGTTGCCCTAGACCTTCTAATTGATTCTAATCAATGGTAAGGGAGTCTGAAGCGTTTGGCTTTAGAGGGAAAAGTTGCATTTTCCGCCAAAGAAAAAATAAAATGAATTACCTAAAAGAAGGCTTTTGAACAGTTCTCAATGGAGTCGGAGAAAATAAAAAGTAAGTATATGGTGATGACAACCTAAAGGGCGCTTGTTTCTCCGTTAAATGGTACATGTTCCACCTATATTTCAAGACGTTAGAGAAATAAAATCGAAGGAAAATTTATGGTTTGGTGATTCACTCCTCCTATTTTTGCCTTTCCCGATGTAATGGCACTTTACGTATGGTTTGTTTTCTATTGGGTGTCTATTTCTGAGCCTAAACATTCTGAAAATGTTCCAAGTCAGCCCATCTTGGTGTCTTCCAATAGAACACATGATTCTTCTATCCACGGGTACAGTCTTTCATTTCCATATTTTAAAGGTTGGAGAGGAGGTTCTTCGAATAAGATTTAAAGATGTGGTCAGTCGTGCTTTCTATTTTTGCACTTCCCGATGTATTTGCACGTTTCACAGTGTGATTTTCTCTTTACCAAAGTTTAGTTTCTCTATCTGAGCTTCAAAAGTCTTGAAAAGGTGCAAACCTTCATGTCATCGGAAAAGGTACATGTTTATATATTGATACATGTTTCTAATTACAGGTACAAGTTTCACTTTGACATTTGAAAGGAGAGATACCCTTAAAAAGTCAAAGCTCTGGTCACTCATGCTTGCAATTTTTGCATTCCCCGTGCACGCACAACAGGGAAATATTAACGTGCTTAGTATTTCAGTGTAATGCAGCTTTTGTTCGCACCTTATAGCACGACGAAGCCTTCCTGTATTCGAACATAAAACCTCTCAATATTGTCCAGCAGTCGTAGTGTCATCTGAAAGAGCACCAGGTTTCTCTATCCACAGATGTAAGTTTCACCTCTATATTAATTGTAGTTAGGGAAATACCCAAGAAAGAACACCAGAGCTGCTGTCCATCCTTGTAAAACATCTGTGTATATGCTTCTGTCTCACCTTACTCGGTCTCTTCCAACCAAAGGATGGCTCCTTCTATTCGAGCACAAAACAATATGAAAATTGCGTAAATCTGGCGACCAAATGTCATCTGAGAGGGTTCACCTTTATCTATCAATTTTTGTGTGTTTCATCTGCAAAATTCACTGTAGTTAGGATAATATCTGCAAACGACGGCAAGAACTCTTGACCTATTGCTTGCTACTTTTCTGCAATTCTCCCTGTCAACAGGTTGGCGGTCCTCTTCCCTCGCAAAGATGGTTTCATATATTCATGCATAGAAGTCGTGAATACTGTCCAAATCTGGTATTTGCGATGCCCTCTGAAAGGGCACCCGTTAATCTATCCATTGATTTAAGTTTCATTTCCGTATTTGCTGTGGTTAGGGTAATATCTTCCAAAGAAGGCAAGAGTTCTTGTCCTATTGAGTGCTATTTTTCTGCAATTTTCCTTTTGTCCCCATGTTACCGCGCAAGGATAAAAAGTCAGAGAATTGTTCAAATCTGGCATTGAGTTGACATCGGAAAGTGCATATTTTTCTCTGTCCATTAATTTAAGGTTCGTAGCCATATTTGCTGTAGTTGGGGAAATATCTGTGAAAGAAGGCAAGAGTTCTTGTCCTTCCTTCGGTCTTTTTGTGCAGTTGTCCCTTTTCCCACTCTTTTTGGGTCCTCTCCCCGTGCAACGATTGCTCTGTGTATTCGAGCATTGATGCTCTGGAAATTGTCTAAATCTAACCTGCATGATGAAATTTAAGAAAACACATGTTAATCTATCCACTAATATAAGTTTCATCTTTATATTCGCTGTGGTTAGGGAAATATCTGTAAGAGAAGGAAAAAGTTCTGCCTCCTATTTCTGTTTATTTCTCCCGATCTTTCCCTGCTAAAAGATGGCTCTATATATTTGAGAATAAAAGGTCTAAAAGTTTGCAAATCTGGCAATCTTGTAAGCGTTTGAGAGGGCGCACACTCCTCTATCTATTTATATAAGTTTCATATCCAGACTTGCTTTAGCTAGGGAAATATCTTTCGAACAAGACACGAGTCCTACTACTTGTTCTTATTTTGCAATTCTCCCTTTCAGCACAGGTTACCGGTCCTCTTCCCGCACAATGTCTTTTTTGTTGAAATCTGGCAATCTTGGTGTCCCGAGAAAGAGCACATGTTCATCTGCCCATTGATGAAAGTTTCATATCCATATTTGCTCTAGTTATCTAAAGATAAGGCAAGAGTATCTGTACTTGTCGCTTTTTTTTAACAGTTTTTCCTTTGTCAACATTTTATCGGTCCGCTTCCTACAGAAAAGTGGCTCCATATATCTGGGCGTATACGGTCGGAAAATTGTACAAATCTGGCCGTCATGTTGGCATCTGAGAGTACATGTGTTCCTCTACCCATTTATGTAAGTTCCATATCAATACTTGCTGCATTAGGGGAAGTAATTTTCAAAGAATACATGACTTCTTGTCCTACTACTTGCTCCTGTTTTTGCAAGTCTCCCTTTGTCCACAGGTTACTGGTCCTCTCCCCGCGCAAGGATGGTTGCCTGTATCCCAGAATAAAGAGTCACGCTATTGTTAAATTTGGCAATCGTTGAAGCATCGTCAAGACCACATGTTTCTCTGGCCATCGATGTAAGTTTCATATATATTTGCTGTAGTTAATAAAATACATGTATTTGCAGAAAAAGTCGGGAGCTATGCCGTGCTGCTTTGAAAACTGGTGAAATTTTTTGTTCCTAAAGGGCCGGTTAACACGAAAGGATTGTTCCCTCTATCCTAGTATAGAACGTTCAATTTTGGCAACGGTTGTGGCGACGGAGAGCACATGTTCCTCTCCTCGTTGATGTACGTTTCATATATTTGTTCTCTGTAAGTAGGGAAATGGCCCCGGGAAAAGTTGAAAATTGTTGCTCTACTGCTTCGTATTTTGGTTCTCTTCATTTGTCCACACTTTATAGGGATTTTTACCGTGCAAGGACGTCCGCCTATATCCAGCCCAGAGAGTCAGAATGTCGTTCAAATGTGGCAATTTTGATGGCATCGATCGGGGCATATGTTCTTCTGTCCATTGATGTAAGTTTCATATTCGTATTTGCTGTAGTTAGGAATATCTCCAAAAAAAGTCGCTAACTGTTGCAACTCCGCTTCGTATTCCGGTCGAATTATTTTCGTCCCCACTTTACAGGGCCTATTAACGCAGAAGGATGGCTCCCAATATCTCAGCAAAGATTGGTCCAATCTGGAAATTGTGGTCTCAACAGAAAAAAAAACACACGTTCCTCTGTCCAGTGATGTAACTTTCAAATTTACATTTTTCTGTAGTAATGGATATATCCACCAAGGGAGTTGTTGCCCTGCTGCTTCGTGTTTCGGTGCAGTTCCTTTTCTCCACCCCTTACAAGCCATGTTTACGCGCAAGGATAACTGCCTATATCCCAGCATAAAAATCAGAATACTGCCTAAATCTGGCAATCGTGACGGCATTGGAGGAAATGGAATACGTTTCTTTGTCCGCTGACTTAAGTTTCTTATACCTATTTGATGTAGTTAGGGACATATCCATGGAAAATGCAGAGAGATATTGCCCTACTTGCTTCGTATTTAGGTGCAATTCCATTGTCCACACCTTACAGGCCTATTGACGAGCAAGGATGGCTCTCTATAACACAGCATATGAGGTCAGAATATTGTGCAAATCTAGCAATCACGGTGGCATATGACAGGGCACGTGTCCCTCTGTCCATTAACGTAAGGTTGATATCCATACGTGCTGTAGTTAGGAAAATATCTGTGGAAGAAGTCGAGAGTTGTTACCCATGTGATTCGTATTTTGGTGCACTTCTTTTGTCCAAACTTTACATGACCTATTTCCACGCAACAATGGCATAGGAAGGGGCATATAATCTTCTTTCTACTGATGTAGGTTTAAAGAATTACTAACGAATAAGTATTATTGCAATATTTAGACAGGTTGGAAATTAAAAGCGAAGAATGCAAGAGTGGTTGGTCAGTAAAGCTTCCTATTTTCGCATGTTCCCCCTTGTCTGTATGTTAGAAGGGTTTGGGGAGTCATGTTTTTTCAACACATCCAAGCTTAGAAATCTGAAAAATGTCCAAATGAGCCAACCGTGGTGTCATCTGAGAGGGAATATGTTTCTTTATCCTCTGGCACAGATTCCACCACCATATGTTGACGGGTTATTGAATTATCCCAGAAAGAAGGCAAGAGTTTGAATTGATAACACTTCCTATTTTAACCTTTTCCCCTTTGCCTGTAGTGTACGCTGCAGTCTGTGGTAGTCGGTGTAGGCTCTTTATATCCCAGGATATAGAAAAGCCAAACGTTTAAGTCTTCCACGTTTGTATGATAGGCTATGGAGCGTCAAAAGTGGACAACACCATTTTCTCTTATTCTGCAAGAAGAGTTTCGTGATTTTGGACTTTGCCAAAAGCATTTTCAAAAAACCGCAATTTTCAGGCAGCAAAAATTTGGATTTCACTTCAAGAAGTCTTCGTAGCGCGTGAAAGTAGACAGCTAAAACTTATTTAGTCAATTTAATGAGATAAAGTATGTAGTCAAGTCGACTTCCTAATTCCAGTAAGATGACCTTGCGATATACTTCATGACATTAAGTCTACTTTCGGAATTCCCTATGTCAACTTGGCGAGATTTTGTATGTAGTTAAGTCGACTCCCTTATTTGGTGAGACGACTTGGCGAGATAACTTATGTCATCAAGTCTGCTTTGGGAATTTTGCGATGTCAACTCGTCGAGATAATTTACGTTGTTGAGTCGACTTTACAATTGTGGGAAGACGAATTGGCAAGAAAATTTATGTAGTCAATCCAACTTCCTAATTCTGCTAGCTCGACTTGAAAACACAATCTTTGTCAATGAGTCTGCTTCTAAAATTCGCTGTGTGGACTTGGCGATACAAATTATGCTGTAAGTTGACTTCATCATTCCAGTAGGCCCCTGTCGACTTGGCGAGATAATTCTTGTCATCAACTGTACAAAATCCAGGCATGAACTGACTACTCATAAGTGAACGTGACCTGCAGCGTATTTTCTTGCCTCCACTCCAGAAGCAGGCTTGATGTCATAGAATATCTAGCGATGTCGACTTACTATAATTATGAAATGGACTTAACTACATCATTTATCTCGTTAAATCTACTAAATACGCTTAATAAGTCGACTTTCTAGGATATATCATCTCGGTAGCTGAACAAGTCGGATGGCAACCACAGCGCCGTACAAAGCGGCTACCAGAGGTGACGGTCCTTTGTAGTACCGCAAACATGCGGAGCCAGCCCATTTTATTGACCCGCCGTGCGTTGACAAGCATCGGGCATCATTTGGTCATTCCCTTGCTGTGACTGGCCTTTTTCGTGCTAGTTGTATTCCCATTTAGCCGATTTTGTGAAATAAATCCAGCCTTTTTTGCCTCAAGGGTGTGAACTTTATGGGACGTATAGAGGGGAGTATTATTCCAAAGGAAATTAATGAAAATATGCCTAATATTGACAAAAATTATGAACTGATTATGGTGGAGGCTACGCAGAGTGCAAAAGCGAATAACCATTTTTTTATTTCAGAAATAATATGTATTAAAATAATCTACCATCTTTGCGTTTCACAGTACATGTATCTGTGTTTGTGTTTTCATTGCATTAATATCTCAGTCCTTGTCACTTTGAATCCTTTGTGTAAATATTAATGACCTTTGGCCTCCACTGTTACTGCCCTCTTGATTGATTACTGGTACACGACTCTATCCACTGGAACAAGTTTAATGACCATATTTTGACAGTTAAACTTATCTTCGAAAGAAGGCAAGAGGTTGAGTCGGTCACTCTTCCTATTTATGTTCAAATGAGCTAATCCTCGTGGCAGCTGAAAGAGAACATAGTGCTCTATCCACTGGTACAAGTTTAATGGCAATATCTTGACAGGTTGGAGAATTATTTTTCAAAGAAGGCAAAAATTTGACTTGGTCACGCTTCCTATTTTCTCATTTTCTGCATTGTCTGTACTGTACGCGGCAAGTTGTTCGTTGGGTAGGCTCAATATGTCTTAGTTTAAAAAATCAAAAAATTGTCCAAATGAGCCAATCGTGACATCATCCGAAAGAGAATATGTTTTTCCATCCATGGGTTTAAGCTTCAAGACCACATCTTGACAGGTTAGAGAATTTTCTTGGAAAGAAGACGAGAGTTTGACTTGGTCAAGCTCGCTATTTCTCAGTTTCCGTACGCTGCACGTAGTTTCCTTGGGTAGGCTCTATATATCTCAGCTTAGAAAATCCCCAAATTATCAAAATGAGCCAGTCCTGGTGTTATCTGAAAGAGAATACGTAGCTCTATCCAGTGGTACAAATTTCATGGCCATATCTGAACAAGTTAGAGAATTATCTTGGAAAGAAGGCAAGAGTTTGACTTGGAAAAGCTTGCTATTTATCATTTTCCGTACGCTGCAAGTCGTTTCTTTGAGTAGGCTCTTATATATCTCAGCTTAGAAAATTTCAAAATTGTCCAAATGGGCTACTCTTGGTGTCATCTGAAAGAAAATTTGTGGTTCTATCCACTGGTACAGGTTTCATGACCATATCTGGACAGGTTAGAGAATTATCTTAGAAGGAAGGCAAGAGTTTGAATTGGTCAAACTTGCTTTTTCTCATTTCCCACATTGTCTGTACTGTACGCTGAACGTTTCGTCGTTGGGTAGGCTCTATATATCTCAGCTTAGAAAATCCCAAAATTGTCCAAATGAGCTAGTCCTGGTGTCATCTAAAAGTAAATTTGTTGTTCTATCACTTGGTGATCATCTGAAAGAGAATATGTTGCTTTATCCACTGGTATACGTTTCATGGCCATATCTGGACAGGTTAGAGAGTTATCTTGGAAAGAAGGCAAGAGTTTGACTTGGTAAGGCTTGCTATTTATCATTTCCCGTACGCTGCACTTTGTTTCCTTGGATAAGCTTTATATATCTCAGCTTGGAAAGTCCTAAAATTGTCGAAATGAGCCAGTCCTGGTGTCATCTCAAAGAGAATAACTAGTTTAACCACTGGTACAAGTTTCAGGACCATATCTGGAAGGGTTAGAGATTTACCATGGGAAGAAGGCAAGAGTTTGACTTGGGAAAGCTTGCTATTTATCATTTCCCGTACCCTGCACGTCATTTCCTTGGGTAGGCTCTATATATCTCAGGTTAGGAAATCCCCAAATTGTCCAAATGAGCTAGTCCTGGTTTCATCTGAAAGAGAATATGTTGTTCTATCCAATGTTGTAAGTTTCATTACCATATCGGGACAGGTTAGNTGGACAGGTTAGAGAATTATCTTGGAAAGAAGGCAAGAGTTTGACTTGGTAAAG